AAAACATTCAAGGAAATAGCAATGCCAAATGTGCAGGGGGAAAATGCTAACATTCCACGTTTTTACTAAGTATACCATAATCTAAATACTTCCCACAAATGCAATAACACCTATATACGAAGCTCAACTTCATCACAAACGTGGGTGCCGGACAAATCTTCAAACTGTTTCAACCTGTATTGAAAACAATATTTCGATGTAAGTTCCCAAATGATTTGAACAAAACCGCAACAATGAATCAAGCCATAGTACACAAAATGACTTACAAAACTAGATGGCCATGCAATACTTTGTGCTACCACATCCCCAATGAACTGATAACTTCCATATGGTCGTATTAAAGGCTCGTCACGCTTGATAGGTACTATGATAAATACTTCAATAAATCCAACTCCTAGCTCTTCCCCGCCTACCAATTTCTTCGGATCTTTACTGCAAACACCGGCTCTAGCTACATCGACGCCAGGACTCCGTAAACTCTTCAATAACACATCTGTCAATCCCTATAAATGTACAAAAGTATCATTTAGTACTTTTAAGTAAAACGCTATAAAAGCAATATCAAATATTGGCTTAATTGCAAGTTTGGTCACCCGAATTGCTTAAAAATTTCATGTTTGCCACCCGAATTGATTTATTCCATTTATAGTCACTCGAATTAGTTCAACAGTCCAAGTTCGGTCACTCTCCGTTAACCTCCGTTAGACTCCGTTAATGACGGCCGTTATGTGATGACGTGGCTAACGGAAAGACACAGTCAGCACATTTAAACATTAAAAAAAGACGACCCGACCCGCCAACTCAGCCTTACCCGCCAACTCAGCCTTACTTGCCCAACCCAAGAACCAACCCAATTAATTCACCCTAAACCCAGACCCGAGACCCAACCCCTCCCCCCCCCCCCCCCCCCCTGAAAATTAAATCGCAGATGGATTAGGGAAATGCCCTAACTCCATCTTCATCCTCTCACCCGCGACTGCCCTAACTCCAACTTCATCCACCGCGACTGCTGTTCTTCCAACGACTTCTACCGCGCCGTCGAGAATCGCCGTCGAAGGGATGGAGGCCGCCGCCCTGAATCCCTCACCCGCGACTCTTCTTCTTCGAGCGCTGCTGTTCCAAAACGCGCTGAATCCCTCACCCCCTGCCGCGACTCTTCTTCTTCGCGTGCGTCTGTTCTTCCCCCTGCCGCAACGCGCGCTGGTGTTTTCCCCCCAAATCGAGCGCTGCTGTTCTTCGCGCGCTGCTGTTTCTCTCCGGCCGTCTGTTCTTCCCCCTGCCGTGGTCTGTTCTCTCCTGTTTTAAAGGTAAAACTCACCTGCTTCCCCTCTCCTCTCCTCTTCTCTATTCTTCGCTTTTATAACCCGACGCGTAAAGGAAGAGTTGTCGCTGTCCTGGGGCAAGGGGAATCTTTTGGGGCTGGAACTTTACCTTTCTTTATACTGATGGTGGAGTTTTTGCCACTTTTTCCAGCTCAGCCTTCACCATGGTGGGTCATGTGCGTGCACCAAATGCGCCCCAACCAAAATATGGTGAGTCAACTATCCTTGAAACAGCTCGCCTTTATTGCAGTAAAGGACAACAGTTTGTTGTTTCTTTCGAATTGAAAATTAGTGTTTGTGTGGAATAGCAAAACCAGCAGCATGTGTGAAGTGGTTCAGATGTCATTTTCATGGCTTTTAATACTAGTTGTTGGGTTAATGAAGTTAGAATTTAGCATCTGCCTTTTACTGCTTTGTCATTTTAATTAATCATTCTCTCTTTCGTTGTTTGCAACAGGTGCTTCTAGTGGAGAGTTCACGTTTGAAGTGCACTTATCAGAATCATTGAAGAAGAAGGGTGGCAAGCATTTTCTGGATGAGAAGTCTACAGTCTACTGGGACTATGCAGATATTGATGAGTTATCAACGCTTGATCTGCCTGACATATACAAGGCATGTGGAGGGAAGATTGACAAGCCGAAGTTCTTCTGGAGCACTTCTTCAACTGATGCTATGTCAGAGATCACGTCAGATGAAGATATACTCGCCATGTCAACAAGTGCAAATGAAGATGCGAGGGTCATCGAACTATATGCCATCTCTGAGGAAGACATTGCTGAGATCATGGACAGTGATGAGGACGAAGATGGAGGTGCCACCAAGAGTAAAAAGGGTAAAGAAGTTGCTGGTCGTGAATCGGATTATGAGGAAGAAGATGATAGTGATTATGAAGCTAGTGAAGAGGAGGACTTTACCAGAGCTGACAATCTGCAGTTTGAAAGAAGCGTAGCAGCAGATGTAGAAGCTGGTTTCTACACCGAAGAAGACGAAATTGAGAAGTGCAAGAAGACTATCATAGAGGCAGAAGAGGGTTCAGATGTCGACTCAGACGATCGAAGGACAATTTGTAGCTCAGATGAAGATGAGGACAGTCACCATGCGGAGGAGTTTCGAGCTGAGAGAGACATGGAGAGTCCTACTTTCGCAGTTTCACAAAGATTCAGCAGTTTCGACGAGTTGAAAGAGGCCATAAAGCAGCATGCATTTGTGGAAAAGCGCCCCATTTGTTTCAAGAAGAACGACAAGAAGAGGCTGCAAGCAGTATGCGCTGATCCATGTGATTGGTATATATGGGCCTCCAAGATGATTCTGACAGATGCAGTACAGATCAAGAAGTGCAAGCTACAGCATTCTACAGATTGCCGGAGGACATTTAAGGTGAAGTTTGCAACTGCCAAGTTTCTAGGTGATAAACTTGCTGGGAAGATGGCAGTAGACAAGAAGATGAGCAAGGGGCTGCTCAAACAGATATGCAAGGAAGATTTTAAGGAAGATGTATTGGATTCAAAGGCATAGAGGATTCGAAGGGCTGCTCTTGAGAAGGTTAGGGTCAGTTTTATAGAGCAATTCCGAGGGCTATACCACTACGCCGAGGAATTGATGAGGAGCAACCCAGGTTCTACAGTGATCATCGAGCAGAGAAATCAGCACTTTGATCGGATGTATGTATGTTTCCAGGCTTCAAAAATGGGTTTCAGGGCTGGTTGCAGGCATGTCTTGGTTATTGATGGCTGTTTTTTGAAGCATGAGTATGGAGGTCAACTCCTTTCAGCAGTGGGTATTGATGCAAATGATCAGTACTTCCCAGTAGCCTTTGCTCATGTACCTGTGGAGAATAAAGAGAATTGGGAGTGGTTCTTGGAGCTCATCTCTAGTGACTTGGATGTTAGGGACAATCCCGGATGGACTTTCATGTCCGACAAACAAAAGGTATGCTTTCTATTGATTTATTCCTTGTTTTTGTGCTTACAATTCTCGGCTGTCCAGAATTTGAATTGTGTGTTATTTGTGTTTTAGGGACTAGTGCCAGCTCTCGATGGACTCTTCCCAGCCTGTGAGAAGAGGTATTGTGCAAGGCACTTGTGGATCAACTTCAAAGGTGCTTGTGGGGGGTCCCAAAACATGAAGAACCTGTTCTGGGCAGCAGTTAGAGCGGAAACGGTTCCTGAATTTCGCAACCAAATGCAAGCCCTATCAGAGTACAACAAGGCAGCCTATGATTGGTTGATCGACAAGTCATTCATTCTACCATTGGACAAGGTCACATTATCAAACCCTCTGCAACTCTAAGATTCATACGAGCAATTTGGTGGAGAGCTGGAACAATGTGATTATAGAAGAGAGGGATATGGGTCCTGTATGTATGTGGGAGGGGATTAGAAGAAACTTGATGGTGTTATATGCCCACAGAAGGGAAATGGTGGAGAGATGGACATCTATGTTCACTGAGAAGATTGAGAAGGAGCTAGATGAGACTACTGAAGAAGCATTGAAGTGGTCAGCAGAAAGTAATGGGAACGGACAATTTGAGGTGAGGTGGCACAGCCACCAAGTTGTGGTCAATCTGAAGAAGAAGACATGTACATGTAGACATTGGGAGTTGACCGGCATTCCGTGTTCACATGCTATCCCTACAATCAGGAAGGCAAAGCTTCTGATCAAGGACCATGTTGCTGATTGCTACCTGCGGGAAACAGCGGCGAAGATATATGAGTTCTCCATTTCACCTACTAATGGCAAGGAGTATTGGCCAATTTCTGAGTTGGGGGATTGTGGAGTCCCTCCAGTTGCAAACTCGAAAAAGAGGGGCAGACCAAAGAAGCAGAGAAGAAAGGGACTTGATGAGGATGAGAAGGGGAAGAAAAAACAGAAGAAGGGTGAAAGGGAATCATCAAAGCCGGAAGGAAGGAAGTACGCGTGCACCACATGTGGGGTAGTTGGGCATACCAAACTGTTCCATAATGAAGAAAGGAAGAAACAGGTGGAGGAAAGGAGACAGGCTAAGGAACTGGCTAAGGAAGAAGCTAAAAGGAAGAAACATCTCGAAAGAGCGGAAAAAAATCGATTGGCAGCCATACAGAAGCAGCAACAGAGGGCTGCAAAAGCAGCTGCAAAAGCGCCAATGAGTCAGCCCAACACTGTCCAGCTCATGCCAGATGTATATATTTATTCAATTTTACAATTTTGCTTTCTAATCAAGTCCTACTATCTTCTAATGTTGCTTTAACTTTGCAGGGAACTACTAGGAGGCCACGGATTGAGGCATCACAGCAGCTCAGCCAAGGATGTGGAGGATCGCAAAATGAAAGCCAAGTGACTTAAGAGTGAAGATTAGTTGCAGTTTAGGTCCAAATGATAATTACCATTTTGAAGCCTCCAATTGGCTAGGAAATGTAGACGTTTGAATGTTCTCCTTTGCGTATTAGCTAGCCTATTAGGTCAAGGTGAATTGCTCTTTTGGAAAAACACTGTCCTCGAGGCTATAATTATCATTTGGACCTTGTAAGACTAAGTTTTATGAATGACTATCAGGTTTATCAATCTTCCAGTACATTGGAAGGTTCTTTTGCACAAATACGTGCCTTAGTTGTCCATTTATGCACCTATCTGTGAGTGACCAAACATGGTTCGAGTTATCAATTCCAGTGACCAAACATGAAACAAATTCACAATTCAAGTGACCAAACATGGAATTGATTAGCAATTTAAGTGACCAAAGATGTTTTGAATTAGCAATTCCAGTGACCAAACATGAAATGAATTAGCAATTCAAGTGACCAAACATGTTTTGAATTAGCAATTACAGTGACCAAACATGAAACAAAATCGCAATTGAAGTGACCAAATGTGGAATGCATTAGGAATTCAAGTGACCAAACATGTTTCTAATTAGCAATTCAAGTGACCATACATGGAATAATTTAGCACTTCACTAGCTACACATCAACAGATTACAACACCTACAGCTACACAGACGACTTATCACTTTCCTATCCAAAACAAAAAAAAATACAATAGCTCCTAAAATGATGAACGACACCATTTTCCGATCAAACTTGGACACCTCCTTGTTTTGCCTCTTCTCTAGCTCCCGCATTCGACGATGAAAATTTAGCAACACTTTTCTCATATGCTCATCAAGGGCTGGGTCAAGCCATCTGAAGTAGTTACATGCTCCATTTGTCTACACACCATCTACAGAAAAAAATAGAAGGATGAAAAAGGCGGCATAATAGTCGAATTGTAACACTAAAAAGAAAACAATGGTGGATGAACCTTACCCCATATCTGCTGCATCCATAAAACCTTCTTCCTGGATTCGCCTCAGTCCAGCTCGTCTTTAGATCTGTTGGCTCTCCACAGTGACAGAAGGGAGCCGCCATTGGTAGAGGTGAAGTGAGAGGAGGAGGAAAGGAAGAGATGGATGGGGATGGGGATGGGGCGATTCTCGCAAAGAGGAAGAGAACAGATGGTTAGGGATTCATTTCTGAGGGGGTAGACTTATAGGAGAGGGCTGGATTCAGGGGGGTTGGGTCTCGGGTCTGGGTTTAGGGTGAATTAATTGGGTTGGTTCTTGGGTTGGGCAAGTAAGGCTGAGTTGGCGGGTAAGGCTGAGTTGGCGGGTCGTGTCAGGTCGACTTTTTTTAATGTTTAAATGTGCTGACTGTGTCTTTCCGTTAGCCACGTCATCACTTAACGGCCGTCATTAACGGAGTCTAACGGAGGTTAACGGAGAGTGACCGAACTTGGACTGTTGAACTAATTCGAGTGACTATAAATGGAATAAATCAATTCGGGTGGCAAACGTGAAATTTTTAAGCAATTCGGGTGACCAAACTTGCAATTAAGCCGAAAAGAAGAAAAACTTAAAACTTATAAAGTTCATTATGGAACTAATGACAGCGAAAGGGTAAAAAACAAGCTTAGGTGCTATGTCCCAACGATATGAATATCAACTAATGAAGCAAGGCATAACTAAGAAAAATGGAACACTATATGGGGAAGAACGGGTTGATGCATGGTCCGCCCTAGCTAGTTGTGTCTTGTGCATTACAATATAAGCTAAAGACAATATATATTACCTGACTACAAGGATCAGAATCAACAAATCCACCAACATTATTTTCAAACTCATTCCCTTGAGATGAAATCAAATTCTGAAAAAAATGAGTAGTGCATGATTAATTTGGTTTGGTGCCCATGGTAAACATAAAAAGAAAGGACAAAAGACAATTACTGACTATTCTTACTTCAGAAATGCGCACTCCACCAACATCTGACATTTCCATTGATCTTCCTATGGAAAGTGCATTTGGAACAGATGGAGAGAGATGTAGTGGTGAATCAGTACGGCTAGCATTCCTATTTGGTACCTATACATGTAAACAAATTAATTCAGTTCACTTGCACAAATATACCTCTATAGAATTTAAACATCACATATACCTTTTGCAAGCAGCTGTCTTTTCGAGAAGTGCTCTCATTTGAAGCTAAACCACGAAACTAGGGTATATATGTCTCAAGAATCATATTTGGCAGCACCTGAGACTAACAAAGCATACCATATTTAAGCCTATATTTAGAAATGGGATTCTTCTAATCTGATGATGATGAAAAAAGTTAATGCTATCCAAGAGATCTATTTGTATACAATATATATGACTAACTATACATGTCTGTCAAGGTAGTATGAAGAGATGGGAAATAGGATGATGGTGTTGACTCTTTCCTGACTATCCCCTTCAGTAAAGCGGCTGAGTAGTCAACACTTAGCTTAGACTAAATAAAACAATGTACTTGTATATAAGTGCTTACATTTCTTGGTGTGATATCAACTCTTCTAGGTGGAGATTGTAACATCGAGACGAATGAACCAACTCCTAAATTGTAGGCATCCTATAACAGAATCATAGTAGTATGCATCAATTAATAATAGAAAATGGAATTTTGTGTGGTACTTTGAATGATGGAACACTAACCTGGGTAGATGAGTCATCATTGTGAATGCCTTCATCATCCACATGTCTTGTGTGATCCTATATTAGACATAATAAAGTGAAAGTAAAAATGGATCTGTTTACTAGTTGTACTAATAAATAGGACATATTATTTAAGTAGTGAACTTATGAAATTTTACCAAACTCGGTTCATCTCCAGCAACATTAGGCGAAGTATTCAAATCACTTGTTGAATTCAACAGTGCATTTGGATTCATCTTCTCAAGGATAGTGAAGATTCTGACTTGTTCTGCTTTCATCTGATTCATCTCATCTTGATGTCTAGCTTCCATTTGTTTCATATCTTCTTGTACTTTCACCACTTTTTCATCTGCATTTCTTTGGACCTCCAATGCCGTCTTTATGATTGACTTGCGAGAGTTTCTCACAGCCCAAGCTGGTGCTAATCCAAATGTCCTAGGCCGATATTTACACTTATTTTCCCCTAAGACAAGTGTAAGAGGGTCATCTCCTCCCGTACCATCAGCAATTTTCTCCTGAAAACATGTTTAATACATTTGACAATAAATTCGTTATGACCAAACCACAAAGAGATAAGTAAAACTTAACATAATACTTACAATGACCTCTGTAACTTTTGCAGTCAATGGAGTCCCATCACGATGTACATGGGCAGCAACATAAACCTCAGCTTCAGTTGGCTCTGACTTATCTGGTCTGGATTCTTTCTAGAGAGTACAATATACCACAAACTAATTACTAGTCATATAATTAAACACGCATATTAAAGAGTGAATGTATGCAATGTAAACATCACCATTTCTTCCTTCTTGTTAGCATAACCAGATGATCCCAAGGTGTGTGTTGATGTCATCTGGCTTCGGTTATTTTTTGCTACTTCTTCTCTATGTTGTAATGATTGAAACAAGTTCAATATATGAAGAAGGTCTTCCACTACATGCAGGTATGTTGTAAATAAACATAATACTACATACAACCTTTCCTAATTAAAAAGAAAAAGGCTAGTAAAAACAAACCAGAGGTTCCTTGAAATCCTAAAACCATACCGCAGCCTTGTCACTTTTCCAAAAGTTCATCAGCCATTCCCAGTGCATCAACAGTCGATTCATCTTCACAAGGAAGCAGTGAATTTTCTATTTTTACTCTTCTATCCACCTGCAAATGGCACTCGGATGTTCATAATCCACCTATTACAAATGGAACAGACAGCAAACAATAATACAGCGATTCTTAAAAATGCAGCAGACAGTAAATAAAGTATTCTTATACAATTTTCTAGCCACCCCCAATTTTCTAGACAGGAAACAAAGTAGTTTTACACCTATCCACCTGCAATTTTCTAGCTATAGACGTCTGCAGCACAGTGTATTAGTGGGGGAAAACCATCTCAATAGTCCGTTGGCTAGACCACCTCTGCTGTGACACTCTCTAACTTTAAAATCAACAACATCTGCACTGCCAAATGCTTATTTCAAAGATTGAACTATTTTAGCATGACAACTATTCAAAACTAAATCTATCCACTCGTGTAATTAATAGGTGGTAAAAACAGCCTGTTATAACAACTGCTCCACCAGGCCACGCAACACTAAAGCTGCACGAACAAAAAGGCCGCTGGCTTTACTAAACCGGAACCGAAGTGAACTAACCCTAAACGCAAGTGAACTACAGTGAAAACTAACCTGGGATGTTGCGAGTTGTCGCGCGGGGACCTCAGGGAAAGAAGACAAACTTGTCGTCGCCGGGATAATACACGCGGAGATGATTTTGGTGGAAGGAGGAGTCGGGCGCAGTATGAGAACTTAATTAGGTCTAAAAAATTCTAATTGCCCACCCGCCCAACATCGCCTATGATTATCCCGCCTTCTTTTTGATTCTGTGCTTGGGTTTTGGCGGGACAAATCAATTGCCCAATTCATTGTTTGGGAGCGTTCGTGACTTGCGGAGTTGGAGAGAAGATGAAGGGCGAAGAAGGCGGAACGAAGAAGAAGGTGAGGATTGAGGTGTCTCCAGTAGCCTCTTTTGTCGTTCTGTTTTTCCTTTTTTATTTTGACAAAAAAAAAATCAATGCTTTTAACACTAAAAGCAACGCTAAGTTTTTTTTACCGTAGCTTAAAATTTTAGTTTTGTCATTTACCAAACAAAAAAGCAACGCTTTTAAGTTTTAACATTACTTTTTTTTTTTTTTGAAAGCTTTTAACGTTTCTTTGTTTACCCGTGGGGAATTTAAAATATTAAAAATCTTCTTTTGGAATGTGTTGTAACCATGGTTGTCACGTTGGCCGGTGTACCACCGGTTGTACCTGGTTCAACCGGTACCGATCAAAAAATCGGCATGACACCACCGGTATGACCGGCATTATCGATATACGAATCTCTAAGTAAAATGATCTTATTTTAGTGAATTTAATTGATAAAAATTATTATATTATTTATTTTATGAGTATAAAAGTTAAATATTAATGTTATTAGTTGGATTCAGGTATAAATGTTTAAGTATTGACGTTAAATGTCATGTTTAAATATGAGTATTTATAATTTAATTTGTAATATTGACCGGCATGAACCGGCACAAACCGGTATGTGCCACCGGTTGAACCATTCCACTAGCTAAACCGGCACACTGGCATAAACCGGTTTGACAGCTTGAGTTGTAACTTGTAAATATATACTCGCATTGTTAATAAATTTCCCTCCTTCACTTTCTAAAAAAAATCCCTTCTTCAAATAAATCTTATAGTCCAAAATATAGAAAAGAAAATATTCGAGACATAACAGAAAACAAATTTAATTAGAGCTAGTACTCAACATCCATATTATCATCCCCGACTTCATCATCATCTTCCACTTGTGGTGCTTCAAAACCTGCCCTTCTTCTGATTCCAGCAGATGATTCAGGCGAAGCATCTACAAGAGATCCCTTGCCGCTTGCACTAATCCAATCAGTATCTCCATCATTTGGAATGTCTTCCGAAAATTCTCCACTTGCAGCCTCACTTTGTAAATAAGTATCAACATCTTCCTCGTCTCCTTCTATACTCATGTCGCATAAATCTCTTGGTGTAGTTCTGACAACCACTTTCCAATTTTTCTCAATGGGATCATCAACATAAAACACTTGTTGAGCCTGTGAAGCCATAATAAATGGTTCTTTGTCATCCATTCGCCGGTTAAAATTCACCAGAGTGAATCCCAATTCATCTTGCTTCAAGCCTCTGCCAAAGGAAGAAGTTGTTGCATTATAATATGAGTATCATGACTTTTCAAACCCGAGATTTTACGATTTTGCAGGTTCACACAATTAGCTATATTAGCAGCATAGGCATCGGGTACTTTGACACTCTTCAGTACCCCACACAAAGTTTGCTTCTTTCTAGAAGTGAGCGTAAAAGATGCATCACGAATGAACAACTTACCAGAAGGATGCCTCTGTGGATGTAGTCCCTCCCTTATCCTTAGCAATTGCATATCCTTAGCAATTGCATATCCTGACGAGCTTTGACACCATCTTTTGACCTCCCAGCAACATTCAATAATGTAAAGAGAATGCTATCACATACATTCTTCTCAATATGCATCACATCAAGATTGTGCCTTAGTAGGTTACTCTCCCAATATGGCAACTCAAAGAATATACTTCTTTTCTTCCAACCATGAGGTAGAGTCTCATTATGACATTCTTTGCCAAACGTGATCTGCTTGCCCTGTAACTCATTTAACACCTCAGACCCAGACAATGGTTTAGGAGCAGGTCTGAACTCTTGTTGATTGTCAAAGGATATTTTATGGTGTCTGAGTACATGGTTAGAAGGCAAAAATCTGCGATGGCCTAAGTAGCAATATTTTTTACCCTGGTACAACCACTGCGAATGTGTATACTTATGACAAGAAGGACATGCTAGCGAACCTTTAGTGCCCCATCCTGATAACATTGCATAGCCTGGGAAGTCACTTATTGTCCACATCAGTGCTGCCCTCATTTTAAAAGTTTGCTTAAAAGATGCGTCATAAGTTTCTACACCATCATTCCATAAACCTTGTAAATCCTCAATCATCGGCTGCAAATACACATCGATGTCATTTCCAGGAGACTTTGGACCAGGAATCAGCAGGGTTAAAAATATGTATGGCTCCTTCATGTTTAACCAAGGAGGCAAATTATATGCCATCATAACAACTGGCCATGTGCTGTGTGAAGTACTCATTGATCTGAAAGGGTTGAAACCATCAGCTGCTAAACCCAATCGAACGTTGCGAGGATCGGAAGCAAAATTTGGATGATGAAAGTCAAAAGTTTTCCATGCTGGAGAATCTGCCAGGTGCCTCAAGTTGTCGTCTTTTACACGACTTTCAGCATGCCAACGCATCAAATTTGCTGTGTCTGGCGTAATGAACAACCTTTGAAGTCTTGGCCCTATTGGAAAGTAGCGGAGCTTCTTCAAAGGGATTTTGGTAGACTTGGATTCCGTTGAAGCAGTTGGATCACTCGATGTATTTTGCCACCTATCAGCTTTACATATCACACACTTGGACGCATTGATATGCTTTTTCCAAAATAACATGCAGTCATTCTAACAAGCGTCATAAGTTTTCTGACTCAGCCCCAATTCTGACCTAACTTTCTTCAATTCATAGTGAGATTTATGTAAAGTTTCTCCTGTAGAAAGTACTTCTCGCAATAACTCTAACAACATATCAAGCGATTTGATGGACCATTTCCCAACACACTTCACGTGAAATAATCTGATGATGAAGGAAAGCTTGGTATGACTAGTACAACCAGGAAATAGTGGAGTTTGATGTGCTTCTACCAACCTCGAAATTTTACGAACCTCCGCGTTTGTTTCATCTGCTTCTATTCCGGACTGAATGTCGTTCTCCAGATCACCAAGCATGTCATCGAGATCATTGTCAGAATCCTCATAATCTTGATTTGTTGCGCCCGTAGAAGGCGATGCATGGAAAGAACTTTCTCCATGTAAAACCCAATTTGTGTAATTGGGGAAGAATCTGAAGCATACCAAGTGATTGTGCACATCGGGACGAGATAACCATGACCGATTGCAACATTTCTTGCACGGACATAAAATTTGTGCATCGCGACAACATGGAGAAGCATAAGCGAAATCCAAAAATTTGTTTAACCCCTGTATATATTCCTCCGTACTTCTTGACTTGTTCATCCAACTTTTATCCATCTTCAATAAAAACACATTAATAATAAGCAAACCAATAAATCATCAATAAAAATCAGAAATTCAATAGATTAAATAAGGTACCATAACTAGGCAAGGTAACCTTTTTCGGCGTAGTCTTCAACAGTTGAACTCCAGAAATTGACCGCCAAAATCAGATGCCCACGACAAATTAAAATTTCCTCCAAAAATATAACCACTTGAAGGAATTCACCGGACGGAATTCTAGCGCAATATATTAGCCTCTGTTTCCCCTGCCCGCCGGATGAAATTTTAGCGCAAACAATTGACCTCTATTTCCCCTGTTCGTCGTTCGAGAATGGAGACACTTTCTTTTTTTTTGTCGAAAGAATGGAGATTCTTTGAGTTGCTACAAGCAAATACCATCAGCTAGCCATCTTTATATATAGCCTGCTTTCTTTTCCTTGTCCCAATTGTTTACCAATTGAATCCACTAACCACTCTTCCTTTAGGATTCCTTATCCCAACGGTATAATAATAATTCAATGGGTTGGTTTTTTCCTAATCAAAATTGTTTTCCTTTAATTTATTGATATGTTTTCACACAATCGGTTACTCCCCTTATTATTTATTAAAATTATTTAAATTTTGAAGGTATCCATTTTAATCTCCAAAATATTATAATATATATATTATCATTGGCGGCAGATGTTTGTACCAAAAGAGACAATTATAATTGTTGGTATTTGACTTACAATCGTAGGAACTTTTATTTTTTATAGTAAGAGATTTTTCATTTTATATATTTATTTAAGAAGCAATAACAACTCTTATTGTAGCCTCTAAAAACACATATATAGTAGCAAATAGTTTTCTGCCTCCAAAAGTTACAAATATTAATATAATAATATAATAAAATTGTCCACGGATAAGAAGGCAAAATTTTACATGACAGTTACAATAAATGTGCCGCTATATGTAGTATTTCAGTTAAATTAAATATAAATGTAAAATAATAAAGTTTTAGAGGCAAATAATATTATTTTTGGAGGCAAAAATTATATTAGTCACGTATAACATATTTTAGGTTGCAATTATTTTATGTGCCGCAAATTTTTGTCGCTAAATGTCATTTTTCTTGTAGTGTGAACAAGCGAAGACAGAAGAACATGGCACATGGTAAGGCAACTTTTTTGTTGGAGTACTTTCAGAAGCAAATGGAAATCAAACCTGGATTTTATTATTCCGTGGAAGTTGATTGTGATGAGAAAGTTGCTAACATATTCTGGTCGGATGCCCAGATGCGGGCTGATTATAAATTGTTTGGTGACTCGATCTCTTTTGACACAACTTACCGTACGAACAAAGTCTATCGCCCATTGGGTACGTGTTTTCTTCTGTTGTTTGCATATACTTTTCTATTCAAATACATTGTGTGATAGTCATGATAGCTTGAATACTCGTCCGAATTTTTTGAATACTAGTATGGAATGTATGAATATTACCATGGACGGTGACAATAATGAACTTGTAAAAATGTGTTATGTAGGAATGTTAGTTGGTTTCAACCACCACCGACAGACTTGCATATTTGGGGCATGTTTGTTGTATGACGAGACTAGTGAATATTTTGAGTGGTTGTTTGATGTGTATCGTCGTTGCATGAATCAGAAGCTCCCAACCACCATCTTCACCGATCACGATGCGGCTATGGCCAAATCACTTCGTAATGAGTGTCCCGGTGTCTTCCATGCATTATGTACGTGGCACATTTTAATGAATGTGAAGAAGCATTTTAAGAAGGACAAGGATGTTTGGAAAAATCTAAGCATTCACCTCAATTACTTATTCTACACGGTTGATAGTGAGGCTGAATTCTACATTGCATGGAAGGACATGCTTGCTGAATGCTTCCCCGACAGTGACTTTGTGGATGGCGACCCGTGGTTGCACTATCTGCTAGGATTCCGGAAACAGTGGTCTTCATGTTGGCTTAGAAGTCAATTCACTGCTGGTATGTTGACAACGCAGGCCAGCGAATCCTGTAATGCATCGGTGTGTCATTTTCTGAAACCAAACCATCAACTGGATCAGTTTTTCATACATTTTAACAGGTGTGATGTTACTATTTCCTGAAATACTAAATACAATATTATTGAATATGCTCTGTAGTAGTCGTGAATATTACTTTGTATGTTTCCAATTGCAGTTTGGTAGAGGACAAAAGATACAAGGAGAGGACTCTTGACTTTGAATCCATTAATCAGGTTCCTGCCATCTCCTCGCCATTCAGCAAGATCCTCAAGCAAGCTGCTGAGATTTACACTCCTCGCATGTATAGAAGGGTGGAAGAACAATATCAACAAATGGAAGAGTACGGATTGGAGCCGCACTCCAATGGTAGGGACGACGAATTTATTGGGTACACAACATTCTACACCAAAAATGACGTCCGTTGGGATGAACGTGTTGCTTTCGTTGATGAGGCAAATGCACAGCTGGAATGTGGGTTGTAGGCTGTTCAATTCCATGGGAATTATATGTCGCCACATCCTCAAGGTGATGGTCCACCTTGGAAATTTCGGCAATCTCGCCATGAAAACCCTGCCAGAACAATTTATATTGAAGAGATGGACCATACATGCCAAGAAGAAAGAGGTCGATGAATCCTCCACAAGTGGCAGGACGGATGAGGCTCCATACACTTCCAACATCGTAGGTAACACCACAGCATTGAGATATAGAAAAACCACTACCATGTTGAATAAGCTTGCTACAAAACTGTCTGTTGCTGATGATGAAGTGTATGAGAAGTGGATGAAAGCACTATCTAAAATGTGCAAGTCGGTAGACCATGCCTTGTCCCGATCCATAACAAGTGAAACCGGTAAGCATCCAATTAGAATATTAACTACTGTTGCATTGAATATTACATACTTTACTACTGAATATGACTTGCCTTATATCAGGGGGGTCTCAACCATTAAATGACATGACCATGAAGCAAAAGGTTAATCCACAGAGTCATGGTCGTGAAAGGTACAAGTCCAGAAATGAGAAAGCCAGCGGTAAGAAGAAGATTCGGTATGCCAAGCAACTAAAGGACTTGGAGATTCTGTCGCAAGTTCCTGAAACTCAACGTGGAAGTCAAAACATGGATGACGAAGAGGACCTCATGGATCTGCTTGCATCGTAGTTGGTTAGATATATCTTTTTGGGAAACTAATGTGATATGATTTGTTATATGATAACATATCATACTGCAATTGGTTGAACTAATATTCAGGGCCTTGCGAGCTTCTATTTAGTAACATGAAACGTTATTTTGTAGTAATATGCACATTCTTGTGAAGGCAATGCATATTAATTGCTTATAGAAATATTCAAATAACCCTGACTTATATACAAAAACAACATACACTAAAATTAAGCATATTCAAACTCATATTCAAACACATTAGAAGTCATATTCAAATAACCCAGAATCATATTCAATTAACCCAGACTCATATTCCAATAAACCAAACAGAGATGTAGGTGGTAGGCAGATCGGCCGAGAAGTCATATGAAAAAGACGGAGTGGATTCCATAGCTTGGTAATTTTTAGAAAGCCGATAGGTGCCATAGCGTGGCAACGCGGATGTGTGGGGTTGTATGTTCGTCTGCCCTTGCGATGTAAACTTCTGCTGCAATGGCATGTTGCAGCGAGCCCATATGAGAGCCTTTGCTTCTTGCCGGGAGCTTCGTGCAAAACTCTTCCGGCGCCATTTGAACCAGCGACAGCGTGGCCTCATGATTGAACGTCATCTTGACGCGCGTACTGCCATATGCGCACTCGGCACGCAACTCATAATGCAGCCTAGCGTAAGATCGTGGTCATGTGTTTTCTTACAAAGCTAATGGGAGGATAAATTGAATGTTTGAACAAAGTTTTTATGTGCTCACTCTGGGTATTCTGGTGTTGTCTTGCAAATGCCACGGCCATAGGTGAACACAGTGATCTCCAACATGCAGCGATAGAGGTCCTTAACAAGAATAGCATTGTTCAGGCTTTTGGTCCCAAAAAATTACATAGTGTGGCAACATATTAAGTGTAAAAAAGAGTATGGAAATGTACCTCATGACGATACGCCTGAAGTGCCAGATCTTGTGTAGTTCTCCGAGCGTTTTTCTCACCGGGCATTGGCCATGCAAGAATCCAACACGATGTCCAGTATCTTTGTCAATGTAAGTAACTAGCCTACGGTTGCCAACGAATCTAAAGTGCAGGTCGGAAATTTTTGCAGTGCATACATTTTCAATGTAAAAGGTGTTAGGCAAACAAAGGAATAGAAACAATACTGCCAGTTAGATGTACCTATTAATGACAAATGCATGTTGGTGACTATATGAAGCAATGATCAGTCGACTTCCTGCTAAGGATTTGAATTCAAAGGAGCGTCATCTCCGAACACAGCAGAGAGCCTAGTCACTGCAGTGATCGTAGTTATCAGGGGGAGACGAGATTCTACACCCGAGACATAGGTAAGATACTTTTGAACATCCGGGCCCGAGCAGTGCACAGTTGCCCTCTCTCCACTGTTTTTGTAAAAGACAGTGTTAGTGCTTAATGCGTGCAAGGCAGCAGCAACACAACTGGGTGTTAATGTATACAATACCTAGCTTCTTCCATGATGATTTGGAATTGCGAATCACCATTTTCCAGCACTTTTGGGAGAGTTAGATGGATCACGCAACCTGTGACATCTGTCAGTTTACTAAACAGTCAGCCAATGAATATGTCCGAACGATAGTGCATGTTCAAAATAGTTAGATGGATCACGCAACTTGAGCAGCATAAGGGATTTTCATGTTCAAATGGAACAGAAGCAAATGGGTTGCTGAGGAAGCCATTGCATGGGAATTGAATACGACTGCGATTCTCCTGGATATGCGTAAATGAGGAAAATTTGATGAAAGACAATCGCACTAAAGTGGGTGTCGTGCGCATCGCAGCCCTGGCGGGGATGACCTGTAGTCCACATATTTTATAAAGACAATCTATCTTTAGCTGCGGCCAAATGGAATCGATGTCATCCTCCTCAACGCATGCTTCAAGCAAATTTTCCCATGTAATAGGTGAAACCACGCATTGAAAAGACAGCGAAGCCAGGGTCGATGTAAAGTTGTGGGTGCAAACGATGCATGAAACGATTTAGTTGGCAAACATACATCTTTGTCTAGCCACAACATATGTAGTATTCGCTTGCGCCATGTTTTTCCATCTCTATATTCCACCCATGTCTTAAGCAATCTAGCTATAAGTATTTCGTCGTACCACCCGAGGTCAAGGAGACGAAATGGTGTGCATGCTACAATCGGATCTGTTGCACATGTGATAGGGAATAGATTTAGTGTGAGATCATGATCTGCCGGTTGAACAGACCTTCTTAATACCAAAATCAAAAGATGCAAGGACGGAAAGTGTATAACCTTGGGGATCAGTTGGCAGTTCGTAGTCGCGGTCCATGGAACTCTACGATTCACTGTTTATGCTGCTCGAGCGTGGGTTCCGTTATGGGGGAAGGGAGAAAGGGAAGAAAGGGTTTCGGGATGGTGGAAGGGAGAAAAGAGAAGAAAGGGTTTGCCACGATCATGGGTTTCGTGATGGGAGAAGGGTTTCGCGACGGTGGAAGGGAGAAAAGAGAAGAAAGGGTTTGCCACGATGATGGGTTTCGTGATGGGAGAAGGGAGAAAGGGAAGAAAGGGTTTCGGGATGGTGGAAGGGAGAAAAGAGAAGAAAGGGTTTGCCGCAATGATGGGTTTCGTGATGGGAGAAGGGAGAAAGGGAACTGCAAAGGCGGGAGAGGAAATAGGCGACTACACTAGTGTGGGTTTCGTAATGGGCCGCCACTGTAGATGGGCCTCTCCCATTTTGTGTGTTTACTTGACCAAGGCAGGCCGAAGAGTACTTGGATCCAAGTAATATTCAATTAACCCAGACTCATATTCAAAAAATCCATACTCATATTCAAACAAATTCAGACACATATTCACAACAAGATTCAAACTCATATTCAAACACATTCGAACTCATATTCAAACACATTCGAACTCATAGCATACATATTTTAACTCATATTCACTCACATTGAACTCATATTCATACACATTTAACTCATATTCACTCAGATACGAACTCATATTCAGACAAATTCATACTCATATTCACAACAAGATTCGAACTCATATTCAATCACATTCGAACTCATATTCAAACACATTCAAACTCATATTTAGAACAAGATTCAAACTCATATTCAATCACATTCGAACTCATATTCAAACACATTCGAACTCATATGCATACACATTTTAACTCATATTCACCCAAATTCGAACTCATATTCAAACACATTCAGACTCATATTCACTCACATACGAACTCATATTCATACACATTTTAACTCATATTCACTCACATTCGAACACATATTCAGACAAATTCAAACTCATATTCATAAAACCCAGAGTCATATTCACAAATAATTAGGGGAGATCGAACTTAAAATAATTACACCTCCATACATGATCTGCACCCCCAATATAATTTCACACTGTCCCCCATGAATAATTACCCAAAAATAATGGCTCAACTTGATTAGAACACCTAATTAGGGAAGGTCAAACCCAAAATAATTACACCTCCATACATGACCTGCACCCCAAAAATAATTTCCCACTGTCCCCCATAAATAATTACCCACAAATGTTTGTTTTTAGTACTTAGTTAGTAGGCTACCAACACTCACATCTTCTGTCTCTTACTACCTCCATCTTGCCCTTCCTTCCACTCTTTTACCCACTTCAGTATATCATCCCTCCTCAAATTCTTATCCTACAAAACCAGCCTCGCAACAAGCAGTGCACGTTGCAGCTCAACGTGCTCTTGGGTTCGCCAAATGATTTTGTATGCAACATCCAAGTGGCCTTCCCAATGCTCCATGTATTGGCAAGCGAATACCCCACAGTCGTCATTACCATTTTGTTGTGGTACGTATGCAACATTAAACACCCATTCACTCAAGGGCGACTCCAGCAATACGCTCTTTCACTCTAGCAATGTTTGCACATAGTTGAACAAGTTCCTCGCCTCCGGTCCACGAACATTCTTGGCATAACTTTCTGAAATCTTCATGCTGTCCAACAAGAATGTTTGTTGCTTGATGAAGTCCACAACATAAACGAGGTAGTGGGCGTCGTCATATTTGGGAAAGAACATTTGTTACATTATAATAAAACCCAATTTAGTATTCAGCATAAGAACAAGTAATATTCATAAAACCCAGAATAGTATTAGAATTACCCAGACACATATTCTAACCCATAAATAGTTCACTCACATAATTGCATCCTTTAAAGTCGACAGTTTCAAATACTGGATCTCGATCAAGTGTGGCAAATGCCTCATCTAGGAGACTTGCAGTTATTGTTGCCCCACTCTTAAAATTTGCAGTTGCCTTGTCCTGTGATTGCATTGAAAACAAGAACTTATGAAGAAATTGAAGAGCATGGTTATTCATTACATGCATTGAAAGTCTAATTTTATTTAGGGTTAATACCTTAGTTTGGCCCGAACTGTACACATACTTTCTACTTTGGCCCGTGGTATTGGAAATTGCTATTCTGGCCTGAACTATGTAGCAAACTTCCTCATTTGGCCTGGAGGCGGGTTTGACCGTTAAATCAGACGGTCAAACTTGTTGACCCTTAGTCAATGCCCACCTCACCTGCCATGTCAGCTTTGAGGACATAATTTTTTTTTAATTTCTGATTTTTGTTTTCTTGTAATTTGCTAATAATGGGCCCTTTTTCGTTATTTTAATTAATTTTTTTGATTTATTATTTTTATTAATCGAAAGAAAACAAAATTCATAAATAAAAAAATTATTTTTATGTCCTCAAAGCTGACGTGGCAGGTGAGGTGGACATTGACTAATGGTCAACAGGTTTGACCGTCATATTTGACGGTCAAAACCGCCTCCAGGCCAAATGAGGAAGTTTGTTACATAGTTCAAGCCAGAATAGCAATTTTCAATACCACGAGCCAAAGTAGAAAGTATGTGTATAGTTCAGGCCAAACTAAGGTATTAACCCTTTTACTTACAACAAAAACCATAGGGAAGATACATTTTGTCAGCTTCCCATTCTTCGTGACATTCAGGTCGTTGAAGTAGTATCCAAATGCCTCAACAATGACACGATTCAGCCATACAGCACATTTCAAACTCAGCAAATGAAACCGACACACCTTGCACTTCGCAGTCTCCACAAATTCCGTAGAACTGTAAAAAGGACAAAGTATTTAACACACTTTTATGAAAACGCACGTGTAAATAATAAAATGAATATTGTTGGGATAACATTTGAATACTTACTCGTTCTCATCTCTCGTACTAAGTGAGAAATCAACTATCGCCTTATGCAAAGGGTCCAACTTGCAAGTAACAGTGTTGGAGAGGACATAGCTGGATAATACTTCTGGCTTTCTCATCGACCTCTCGAAGCGTGGAGTTTTCATGTCTATTCTCTTCCATTTTAAGGTCGTAAGCTCCCCCTCGTCGCCTTCAATAACCACCTCCACCGTTGGTGCTGAAGAAGCAGTACTTGGAACAGGTATTCTTCGCTGGTAAGTAACTGGAGCCGCCACGGGCACCGGAGTGGCCTTCTCAACGGACGTCGGAGTGGCCTTCTTAACAGACGCCGGAGTGGGCGTCTCCCCGGACATCGGAGTTGGCTCAATTGCCTCACCCTTGGAAGCCAGAGTTGGCTCCACAAATGACGAAGGAGGCTCAACAAAGGGAGAAGGAACCTCCTCCGTCATCGGCTCCTCAATATCCTACTCAGATGGCTTGTTCTTCTCAACCATTTTCTCAAGTATGTGGCCAATTTGTGTGGTCAACTCCAGCCATCTTTTCCCCTCATTCAGACACACACTACGGCAAACCCTTAGCTAGAAAAAGACAGAAAATAGGTATTTAGGTCATTGATAACATACTTTATTCAATCTCATCCAAATAGTACTAAAAAAAGCATCAAAATAGTATTCAAACAAGAACGCTAAACATTTGTCCATCATCCTAGCAAAGTACATGGAAATAGTATTCAAGTACATGGAAATAGTATTCAAATTATTCAAACTACCCAAATCTCAACATTTATTATATCCAATTTCATGAAAGCTACTCATTCCTCTCCACATTGGGGCTCCACGTTTTCCAATCTTGCAAGTCGTGCCTTCCACTTATTGAACATGGACTCAGTCATGCACTTCAACACCTTAAGCTACAAGTATGTGAATTTTTTTAGTTCATGAAATCTACATTACTCTAGTATGTCGAAAAAAAGTTAAACGTACCTGATCTTCATCCATGCGCTCCAAGTCGTCCTTTTCCCACCAAGAAGAGTTGTAAAATTCAGGAGCATCAGGAGCAGATGGAGCCTGTGTGCAGCTTTGCCCTTTATCTTCAACAGAACCACCAAACCTCTATCGAACTTCTGGTCTTGTCATCAACAAACCTGCTATCCCACCATTGCCCATGGTATGGATGGCTCCAACAACCTTCATTTGACGATCCTTGAACTAGTAGCTACAGGTTGGGGTGATGAAGGTCCCAACACCTTTGACCTTCAAAAAATCCAACAAATGTACCTGCCAGTCAAATAAGAGGAAGATGTTAGATCGGTGAGAAAAAAAGAATTTAAATGGCGAGACAAGATTAAAGTGATATTCAAACAACTCAGACACATATTCATAGAACACACACAGTAGTATTCATATCAGATTGAATTGATATTCAAATAACCAAGTCTATTCAGAAAATATTGACTCATATTCAAATAACCCATACTCATATTCAAACACATTCGAACACATATTCAAAATCATTCGAACTCATATTCAAATAAACATATTCAAAAACATTCTAACTAACATACATTCGAACTCATATATTGAAACACATTCAAAGTAATATTCAAATAACCTACTCATATTCAGAAAATTCAGAGTCATATTCAAAATAACATACACTCAATATAATCAAGCACATTTGCACTCATATTCAAACACATTCAAAGTATTATTCAAGCAGGATAAAACTAATATTCAAACATAAATGAAAGAACAAATACTTAAAACTTACAATGAGGAAGTGGACATCTCCATGGACCCAGTCAAGAAATTCCTTTCCTTGAACTGCAGCAAGGCTACTCTTCAGTTCAGCTACAACAAGGCGGGACCAGTTGTAGCTTTTTACCCGCTCAATCAACAAGGAACTCCGCATAATCAAGCTCACAAATCCGTGACCATGATGGTCGGAGAAGCGAGGCAAGAGCAAGCAGGATGAACTGCTTGACGGCCTTACGAACAGGAGGCCTAGCATTCTCATCCGTTAACTTGTCCACCATATCACTCAGAGGGAAATTCCGGCACCTGTTTCCTCCCAACCCAATCTCGGCTTGAAAAGCCGACAACTTGGTTTTGTCCAAGCACTTATCCAACACTACTTCTTCCCCAACGTGAGGAAGGCCATAAACACGAGGCACGTCCTCGTCCTCTAAGGACAGCACCTTCGTATTTTCTCCCTCTCCGAAAATGAAGCTGCTAGAAATAACATCGTAGAGTCGTGCCATTGCACACAGCAGAAACTTATCGACGCCGCGCAAGCGTATCTTCGGCAATCCATCAAACCCCGCCTTCTTAAGCTCCTTCTCGCATTCCTCATAGTAGGCCTCATCCTTCTTCCAAAATTCAATCACATTCAACAATGAAGATGTGTGACATCGATGATGCGTTTCATGTGGTTTCTTGGCCTTGCCTTTCCCAACAACATTCCCCCCATCTTTCCTAGCAGACTTCCCCACAGCAGCTTTCCCAGCAGACTTCCCCCAGCTTTCGCATAAGACTTTCCCTCAGACTTCTTCCCAGAAGACTTTCCCCTAGACTTCCCAACCGAAGTCTCACCAGACTTCTCTGTAGAGGTCTCACCGGACGTCCCAGCAGCAAACTTAACTCTTTTTGCTGCAACCTGATCTCCTGGACCAAGAGGAACATCTTCAGCAGTAGGAGGAGAAACATCTTCAGCAGCTTTCCCCGCAGCAGCATTCCCAGAAGACTCCCCACCAGACTTCCCAGCAGAAGGGGGATCTATTAAGGGTCGTTGTCGTTTCATAGCAGGAGGAACATCTTCAGACACAGGAGGAACATCTTCAGCATGAGGAGGATCTACTAACAGTCGTTTCATAGGTCCAGGAACACGCTTCTTGGTTCGCACCATTATTCCAAACCTGTAGACCAAAAACACATGTATTTAGAAAAAGGGGAAACACAACATAATGAAGATAACTAATATTCAGAACTTTCAACATACAGTATTAATCTAGCTGCAGACAAACAATTTCAATGAATACAACTAATATTCAAAATAAGAAGAACTAGTATACGCCAAAAACACAGTCAACATTATACAACAATACTCAAATCAGAAGAACTAGTATTCGTCAACAACACAGTCAACATTATACAACTAATATTAAAAATCACAAGAACTAGTATTTGTCAACAACACAGTCAACATTATATAACTAATTTTCAAACCACAAATCACTAGTATTCAACAGATTGAAGGTTACGACAACAACTACTTTTGGATTCAACCATATTTACTGATTCTAAGCAAGAACCGATTCTAAGCAACAACCCAAAAACTTGGTCAACATAAAATTCACAGATCTCGCCCACACAAGACACATTCTGAAGAATACCCATGAGAATCGAGTCTATTTTGAAGGTGTACCAAAAAAATCCTAAACAGTTATTCAGTGAACCCTAAACACTAAGGAATGAAGCAAAAGGGGGGATTCAAGGCAAAACCCCACAGCTAGAAAGAAAAGGACAGAGAGAATCGTCCTCACCGGTATTGATAGGCGAGAAAGGTCGGCAGAAATAGAAAGAACTCGAGGAAGGACGATTCTTCCTTGTCGAAGCTCTCCTGGTTATCGGCTGGGCTGCTCGTCGCCGACAAGAGAAGACGATTTCTTCGGCGCTTTTCTTGTTCCGGTGTTCCTCGCTTTTCTTTGTTTTTGGGAGGGGTGGTCTGTGTTGCTCTGGTTCGATGAGAGCAAAATAGAGAAAGAAAATGGCGGAGAAAGAAGAAGAATAGAGAAAGGAGCAGAGAGAAGGAAGAAGAGTAGAGGAGGAGACGGTTGAGGAGACATGAGGCAGTTTTTCTTTCAATTTCAAAACCCAAACTCCGCGACTCCACCACCTTTCCCTCCCTTCAGTTTTTGGCTAGGCTCAGCCGGCTTCACTTTTTTCCTTTCCTCTCTTACGCCCAGCTCGCTCAATCATTGCCGACCGTTACTGGCCTGGCGACGTGGCCCTCTCCCTACCGTGTGAGTTGGTGCACACAAAAATTTCTCTGTGTACCTACCATAGCGAAATCGGGGCTCAACGGCACTGATTCTGAACGAGTGACTAGAGACTACTGAATAGGCACGTGCCAGCCCAATTTGAATCTGTAAGCACCAGGAAGAAAACCCCTCTTTTCTTTCTCACCCACTTCTCTTCCGCTTTTCTCTCTCTTTCTGTCTCTCCTGTGTTTTGTTTTTTTTTTTTTTTTGAATCGGAGGCAGGAGCAGCAGCCATGGAAGCGATACTGGTGGACTGTGTGAACAACAGTCTCCGCCACTTCATGTTTGGAAACGCCATTTTCATGTGCGAACGCCTCTGCGCCGAGTTCCCTTCCGAGGTACTTCTTTATCTTGGTTGCCCCCTTCCCCAATTTCTTTCTCTTTCTCTTTTACCTTTTTGTTCTTCGATCGCACTCTGTTCGGCGCTCAGAGATGCCTTCCCCTCTGTGGGAGAAATTGAGAGGGTAAACTCTTCTTTAGTAGGAAGAGAGCTTGTGTTAACTAATGAGATTGGCTTTCTAGCGTGGTTACTACTAATTCCCTAGTCGTAATTCGGGGGTCTGGTGCGGGATTGTTTGCTCACTCGAGGTTTTAGTAGTGACTTGTATCCGGTTCTCTGTCAATAGTGTTAGTTGCATTGCATGCCTAGTTCAGTTGGGGTTGCAAGGTGGAATGTGCTTTGTAGAACAATCAAGCTATTGGTGAGAGAAGCTGACTTCTGGGATTTTTTTTATGTTCTTTTTGCTCCTGGGAATTGTGGGATGAACTCAATTATGATGTTTGCTGGCTCGAAGCTTCAGACTGTATAGTGTCATCTGTTGAATGTGAAAGAGAATTTTACTGTACTATTCGAAGCTTTTGTTGTAAATTCGTTTTTTGGCTGTGCTGTAACCAACTGATAGAGGCTTATCTTGGGGGGACTCTATAAAGAGAAGGATTGTATTCGTTGGGGTTGGGTTTATGAGGTACCCATATGGTATCTCAGTTCTTAGTCATTTAGTTGGTTATGTACTCGTTCTATTGAATTATCTCTTGCTTCTGGTCTTGTCGAGATAAGACTGACTGTTCTGCTGGCACAAACAATTTCTTCTGGGTGAAATGTGCATCCTTGATGCTTTCTCTCGTCTGGGTTGTTTTACTTTAACTTTCTACCAGGTTTTAATGAACTGTTTGATGGTTGTTTTTGTCTTGTCTGCAGACAAATTTAGAGTTGTTAGCTCGGTGCTATTTGCAAAATAATCAAGCCTATTCTGCTTATCATATCCTTAAAGGTACCAGATGCTAGTCCTTATTTCTTCTGCTTTTTGATCAGTTACTAATCTAACGAGCATCTTGTGATGCATAATCCAATTAATCTTTTCCTTCCCTTTTGACTTTGATTTGCTGAAATATATTGCCTATTCATTTTATATCCTCTTTGTTTCTTTTCTTGGTTGTTTGAAGGAACACAAATGGCTCAATCCCGCTACTTGTTTGCAATATCATGCTTTCAGATGGACCTCTTAAAGGAAGCAGAAGCAGCATTATGTCCTGCTAATGATCCAGGCGCCGAGGTATATGTGACATTCTACATTGTTTTAATTGAGATACTATAGAGGTTTTTCAACATACTTACTTCTTTTTACTACCAGTCAAGTATGCTTATCTAGCTTAACTGTTAACACCTTGTGAGATTTTTTGATTTGCTTAGCAAAGGAATTGTGTAGTCTGTTCCTGACTGTATTATCTGCTTTCTGATTGGAAGATTTGACGTAGCACGTTTAACTAGGATTTAGCTGAAATGACGGACCGTGTTCTTAATTTTGCATTGGAGTTGGCGTGCTGTAAAGCTTCTCTGATTAGGGAATTGATAATCACTCTTCGTCTTCTGTGGGTCTGTCTGTAGGTTCCCAATGGTGCTGCAGGGCATTACCTTCTTGGTCTTATTTACAGGTTACTTACCTTTCTTTCTATATTTTATTAAACCCATTTTCTTTTCAGTTAAAAGGTTATCATTGCTCAATCAAGAGATCCTGTTTTGAGTTTAAGCTTTTTTCTGTAAGAATTAAGGGACTTGCATATGAGATGACCTTATCCAGTTCAAATGTAGGTGTGCACTTATTGTTCATCATTATGTTGTATGACACCTATCTTCTAAAATGGTTGTTGCTGCGTGCATAGGGTGTGCCAGATACAAGAAACCGCTACGTGATAGAAAAGATTTTGTTGAATTCTTTCTTAGTGGTTGAATTATGTGAATGTTGTCAAATCTCCTCTGGAGAAGAATCATGTGTCTACAAATGGACTTGACTTATTTTATTCCTGTGGCCTGAGCTCAGCTTTTGTTTATGATCTGGATATTTACCTGTTTTTGGACTAAAGAAGCTTATGCTTTGTATCTAAATCATTGTTCTCTTACTTATTCTGCAAGTGCTATTGGTTTAGGTATACTGATAGAAGGAAAAGTGCTATCGATCACTTTAAGGAGGCTTTGTTGGCAGATCCTCTTCTCTGGGCTGCATACGAAGAGCTGTGTGTATTAGGTCCGTTTTTTTGTGAGATGCGAGAAATTTCTACATCTCTGGCAGCATTGTCGTTGCTCTATCTATAACTGAGGGATACAGCTTGCCATTGTTAACAATTAGCATACTTTTTGTCTTTATATTTATAAATTTTAGGTGCTGCTGAAGAGGCAACTGCCATTTTTGGTGAAGCAGCTTGTCTTGGTATTCAAAAACAGTACTGCCATCACCTGGCAGTTACTCACAACATGCATGTGTCAAGTGAAGATCGCACTGCAGCTTCAACTAGAAACTGCAGCTCAGAAGATGGTAGTCCAAGGCAGCTGAAACATATGCAAGGCACTAACTTGAGAGAACTATCAGGAAATTGCCATGTCTCATCAGCAGGAGTTGGTAGTCAGCCTTCAAATGGAGGTCCCCCAAGCTTAGGATTTTACAATACCCCTTCACCAATGGCACAGGTATTCTATTTTGTATTTGTGAAAATTGGAAATTTTGAAAATGTATACATATTTTGTTGTAGTTTGTACTGGTGCTGCCTTTTTGGTGGTTTCTTCTGGTTGTACTTTTGTCATTGAATTTACTTTGTTAAAGCTCTTATTCATCTTGATCTATAACTGCACCATCAATTGCTTTTTTTTTGGTTTCCCTTGTTTCACGACTTTGTGATCTAACGTTGTTCTCATATTTTGCATCTTCTAGTTTTTTTATATTGCGGAGTGCTTTAACTTTTTCACTAGGCATTCTAAAAGAACTTTCATTGTAACTTATGTTTCTAGCCAATGTTCTTCAACACTTTTCGTGTCATTTATGTTTGTTGCTGGTCAGCCATTACAAGGGCTGTTGAAATTCTAGTATGTACCGTACATCATCTATGCATCTTTTGTGAGACATCTCAACTCATTGTGTTCATTCCAAGTCTGTTATGGTTTATATGTGACTATTTGGATGTTCATAACGTCAATATGCTTATTTGTCATGTACTTTGTTTTTTTTTTGTCTCTTACATCTATGTCTTCTCCCTTTATTACCTGATAAATATGATGATGTCCCTGGTGTTCGCAGTTCTCGGGCGTTGCACCCCCTCCATTATGTAGAAATCTTCCGGCTAACGGTCCAAATCTTAGTAATGCTAATACTGATAACTCTCCAAAGTCAGTTGTGAATGCCAATTTTCAAGCTCCGCGAAGGAAGGTTGTTGATGAAGGGAAATTACGCAAGGTGAGGATTCAATGATTATGGTCAGAGCGTGTTTAATTTTGTTATTGTCATGTATATTTAATGTTGTAGAATTGTAGTTCTCCCTGCCTTCCAAAATGTTTAGTTACTGTGGTCATAACGGAGGTTGTATACTGTGATTAGTTTCCATGTTGTCGGCACTTATCATGGTAGCTCTGTCTCAAATCCCTCTCCGTAGCATGCGAAGTGACATAGTGGGTTAACTTTGATAGTGAAGATTTATGTTGTGAAATCAGTCATCTTGTCTATTGTGAGGAAAAATTCAGTAGTACAGAACTGCAGTTTGGCATAATTGCACTTGTTTCATTCAAAGAGTCTTCTTTACCTCCAATCCGATAATACCATTATTTGTATAAAGATTGACCTATTGCTTTTTGAAGGCCAGTGGGATCAGTGTCAGGTCATGAGTTCCTTTCACATTCTATTATTAAAATTTCTGATGTCCTTGTTGCTTGCTACATTTTGCAGATAGCTTGGGTTGGTTGCCTGGGCATACTAGTTTAAAATTTTTGTCTAAGAACGATTTTGTTTTCTTCCTTTCACCTTGGCATGGTTTTGACTTCAGATTTCTGGAAGGCTATTCCCTGATTCTGGCCCTCGACGTAGTTCAAGACTTGCCGCAGAGGCGGTGACCAACGCAAATGCGACCACCACGTCAGTTGCGGGGAACGGGAATGGCAATTCTTCTAAGTTCCTTGGAGGTTCCAAGTTGGGTTCCATGGCAATACGTTCTGTAACCCTTCGTAAAGGACAGTCTTGGGCCAATGAAAATTATGATGAAGGTGGTGATTTGTGTTGTCTCTTTATGGGGAAACCTGTGTATTATGAATAAAGTTGCTATTATTGATTTTTGCTGACTGAAAGTGCTATTATTGTACCTCTACTTTTTCCGCAACTCAGAGGACCACTAAGTTAGATGATTACTGAATTACTTATTTCCTTCTGTGTTCTTCTTGAACCTTGAATAGGCAGGGTGAGGCAGGAATAGCGGGAGATAGAAACCATAGATTGCTCACATATTTTTCTGTGGCTCTTGGTTCTGCCTAGACAAGAATGAAAGTTAGGTCTAGATGGTCTCAGTTACTGCATCTATTTGTGTGGTGCTTAAGTTGTCAGTACCTTGTTCTATTTGCATGGTTGGGTTTACTTTTGTGAAAGTTTCAAATCTTGTTTGGCTCATACCGATCATAGCAAACAAGTTCTAAAACTTCTCCCTTGATATTCTTAAGGGATTCGTAATGAGGCTTTTGATGATGTGCATGCAAATGCTCCTTCTACAAATCCTACTCCGTCACCATCTGGTGAAACTAGATCTACTGAAGCAGATGGAGCAACTGTCCCTGTTGGCACGGCTGTGATAAGTGCCTCAAAAATCTTTAGTGGTACTTCTGAAATATTAAGCCTCTTAAGAATTCTTGGAGAAGGCTACAGGTTCTCTTGTTCTTATAGGTGTCAGGTATGCATAAAACTTGAAATGATATTCACTCTTATTGCTCACAGTTACTTTCTTTAAGTTGCTTCTATGCTAACTACAGGATGCTCTGGATGCATACATGAAACTACCATACAAGCACTATAACACAGGATGGGTACTTTCCCAGGTAATCTCGCAGATCCGAGTGTTGAACATTTTCTAGGTCATATGAATTTCTCTTTTGTCTTTAAGAAGCTGTAAATTTTAGCGGGATATAGAGAGTGATGTTACGGAAGATGATGAAAATGTTATTTTTAAAGTCAAAACCACGGCTTTGAGTCCTGCTAAACAGTTGATCCAACTATCATTGTTTCTCCCCGTCACTTGGGAATTCTCACTATTGCTTTAAGTTGCTTTAGTACATTGGTGCCCGATATGTAATATTCTATTTTGGATTGAATGCATGCCATACTTCTTCCAATGGTGCTGCGATTTTGCTCAGTTTTATGGTTATCATTTAGGAACTTATGCTACTTCTGCTTTCCATGCAGGTTGGAAAAGCATACTTTGAATTGGTTGATTATCTGGAAGCTGACCGTGCGTTCAGTCTTGCTCGTCGTGCATCACCATACAGTTTGGAAGGGTTAGACATATATTCTACTGTTCTTTATGTGAGTTCTGCTAGTCCTCATGACTTATGCTGGTTCAGCTGTCCCATCTTTTGTCGGTGTTGCTGCTTAGCTTGTTCGGTTATGCAAATATTGTTGAGGTTCAAAAGAGTTTTTTTTTAATCTGGTTTTGGGTACAGTTTTATCTTCTCTTTGTTGGTAGCTGTAAGTACGCACACGTTTTTTAATTATGCTCAAATCTATACTCAATCGTCCTTTTATTATGCCTATGAAAATGGTGATTACCCAGATAAACTTATTTTTACTTGGTTGCAGCATTTGAAGGAAGACATGAAGTTAAGTTACCTTGCTCAAGAATTGACATCGACTGATCGCTTAGCTCCCCAATCTTGGTATGTTCCTGCCCTTTGTTAGTTAGCAGTTCATTTTTCATGCTTCCTTGTGATTACTCTGTCTACCTGTTGTGCCATGTGGCTTTGTTTATTAGTTCGCTTAGCTTTCGTACATCTAATCATTTAATGCCACTCCATATTAGATTCTTGAGTCGTTTTCAAGAATTTGAGTTATTCGACTGATCATTGACATGGTATTAGAGCGTTGCTAATCATAAGGAGTCATGTTCAAATCTTGATGAACCCAATAATAAGAGCTAATTTAAACATTAGATAGAATGGAAATATGTATACTTGAGGTTTAGAAGTCAGACTACCTTTAATGGGATCACATATATGATGTGTTTGTGTAAACTTGAAGTCTATTGGGCATAGTTAGTTAGTTACTTTGACGGACTTGCAAGATGTGCAAGTGCAAGAGAATGATGTTCTGAGTTAGTGGCACTGTGTGCTTATGCTTGTTGTCCTCTCACTGAGTATTGTTTTTTTTCTTCTGGTACTGAATATATTCGTAGACCTAGCTATAGATTCGATTCATCGTTTTCTATTTCTCTGTACCTTCTCCATGGACCATTTAGGTGTGCAATGGGAAATTGCTATAGTTTACAGAAAGACCACGAAACCGCTTTGAAGAATTTCCAGCGAGCTGCACAACTTAGTTCAAGATTTGCTTATGCACAAACACTTTGTGGACACGAGTACGATCCCCCGCTCTCTCTTCATTGTGATGTATTTTCTGCAGCTAATCATAATATTGTTCACTTTCTATGATCTACCTCCAGATACGTAGCTTTGGAGGATTTTGAAAATGGAATCAAGTGTTACCAGAATGCATTGAGAATTGATACCAGACATTACAATGCCTGGTATGGACTTGGAATGGTCTACCTACGGCAGGAGAAATTCGAATTTTCCGAGCACCATTTCAGGATGGCTTTCCAAATAAATCCACGTTCGTCTGTTATAATGTCGTATCTCGGGACTGCATTGCATACGTTAAGGGTGAGGGCTACCTGCCAAGAGCTGTATTATTCCTCTTTTAAACTCCAATAGTTGTCCGAATTATTTATAGGCTTATTATTCTGCTTGCAGAGAAATGAAGAAGCGCTGGACATGATGGAAAGGGCGATATTGGCCGATCGGAAGAACCCTCTTCCAATGTATCAAAAGGCTAATATCCTTGTTAGCATGGAAAGCTTTGATGAAGCCTTGGAAGTTCTAGAAGAGCTCAAAGAATATGCACCTCGTGAAAGCAGCGTCTATGCATTGATGGGTAAAATTTACAAGAGGCGAAACATGCACGACAAGGCCATGCTTCATTTTGGCCATGCCTTGGATTTGAAACCCTCTGCCACAGATGTCGCTACTATCAAGGTAATTTCGTTTTTTCTCACTTCAGTCTGTACCTCGGACATGTTTTGAATCTTCCATTCGGTGATGATATCATTTAAGGATATTCTACCCAACAAATTCTTTGGTATCGTGTTGATCAACAGGCTGCCATTGAGAAGCTGCATGTACCAGATGAGCTAGAAGACTTGGATGATGACTAGATGCGAGCAGAAACAGAAGGTCAAAGAACCTGGTACAGAGTTTGTGATTAAGAGAGGAAGGTATGACTTGAGGCCAGAACTTGTCTGCTCGTGATTTGGATGAATCGCGAAAAACCAGAGGCTCTTCCTCGATGTGCAGACCTCGGTGAAGACATACCCTTTCGAAATCGTGGTTGGTAGAGATGTTATCTCAGTTTTGATTGATTAGGTGATCGATTAATTAACACACACTGCAGACCAAAACCGAGGCGCTGGGAATCTGCCAATACTTTGTACCAAATATACTTGTGTATCAATTCGGAGAAACAATGGAAAAAGGGTAAAAAGTTTAGTGTACCATTCATCTGTGTTACCGTCAAAAATTTAGTGTACCATTCATCTGGTACTGGTATCTGTTCCTCCTGTTCTTCAAGGCTGTTAGCTAAATGAAATCTTCTCTTTCTCAATATTCTCAGGATTTTGGAAATATAATCAAGTATTACCCTAAGTGAATATTGAAAAGGAAAGGTCATTAACTCTTAGTAGGGCTGGGAAATTGGGATACAAATCTTATTAGTTCCGTTTTTTTCCCTGTCCGAGTTGGTTTGTAATTTAACGGTTTTGGTTTCGGTTTTAGCCAAAAACGAATAAGAAATAGAAATCAAACCCGAATGGTGCTCCAACCAAAACTATTATAAAGAGAATAGGGTTTTTTTTTTTTGTTTGTTCTAATTGAAAAGCGGTAAGTCCTAGGGTTCAGTTTTGAAGAAATAGCCTATATTGATTTTTCGATTCTTAATGGTTTTGGTTCGGTTAAACCGAACCGACACCGCAATAATTATTTTACTCTTATATTATAGGGTATTATATCCAGAGTGAAAGTAGGGAGGACATTTTGGTCTTCACAATTTTTTTTTTATTCATTGAAAAAACACTTACCAGGATTCGAACCATGACCACATTAAAGAAAAACAAATATCATAACCATTCACACTAGGTACATTTGTTGTATCTTTTTAAATTAAAAACATATAATTGCAGAGAGGAAAAAACCTTTCCCCCATTTCAAATTCCCTGCTCCAGAAGCGTTTGTAGGAAGGGTAGAATAGGGAGTGTCAATTTTTTTCTTTTTCCTCTGTCGAACGGGTCAACTTACCGTACACATGCGGATTTAAACGGGTCGAGGAGTGTCAATTTTTTTCTTTAAGTCCTTTTATTTCTCCGTGGTGGTAAAATATATATGAAAAGGAAAAAACAATACTCCTTTTTATTGATAAAAAGAAAAAAATTAACAATAAACTAATGCATGGATTCTAATGGGCTAACTGTTAATCATAAAATAAAAGAGTTGAATGGGCCTGGCCTACACGGGGTTTGCCCATCAAGTAAAACAAATGAACATCATGGGTTTGTCATTCTAAAACAAACTATTTTCTCTAGTATAATATATATTATGTTATTATTTTATATCTCAGTGGCTAAAATATAATGTATTTTAAAGTTATTCAATGGTTCAACCTCGACCAACCCAAATAGTCCAATTTTTATCATTTCAAATATATATTATGTAATTATTTGATATCATAATGATTAAATTATAGTGTATATTATAGGGAATCGTTTGGTATTTGTTAGTAAAAAACTAAACAGAAAGATCTATTTGGTTATTTTTAACATTAAAACGATCCTAAACATTTTCAGTTTCCTTTCGAAATTCTATAGTTTTATTCCCGAATCAGTGATGTGTAAATGGCGAATTGCAGTCATCTCTTTTCTTTCATTATTTTTTATTTTCAAATAGAAAGTTTAAAAGTAAAGAATAATTAGAGTTTGGCATGGGTCGGTCAAACAGGTTGAATTTCAAGTTTTGGCCTGTTTTGATCAAGTCTAATTTATAGTCACATGGTTCCCTGATATCCGATAAAAATCTCAATCCAACCCAGTTTGACAGGTGAGTCCGTGTTTACCACCATTTTCTAGGGATACAGGAACGGTGGTTCCTATCCCAAATCGTGTTGTTCATTCTTGATTTCTTTAGATTTTATCATGGCTTGGCAAAAAACCAGAAAGCACAATGATGACAAGATGAAAGTTTTATAAAGTAAATTAATCGGCCAACGGACCGAGTAAAAGCTAGCAACGATTGTGAGATGCTCATTTCTCGAAACCCGGCGGGATAGGCGATTTTTTATTTGATTTTCTGGAATTCAGTTTCTATAAAACTTACTCCACCTCGTCATATTACCAGAAACAATATTGTTTCACAAGGTAACATGTACTTGATTTTGGTTCATAAGGCTGATTTTTGATTCGTTGCATCGTTCATGTCTCTTTCCTACTAAAATTCACTATTTTTATCACGTGTTTCAAAAAAAAAAAAAAACTATACAACAATAAACTATACACCACATTACGTTATCAAATTTCATACCTCACCTTCCTCCGCCCAAATGGCCGGGACCACGCTAGTTATGATATAGTTAGGATGAAAAAAAATCTTAAGAATATGATGGAACGTTAAAATCAGTGGAATTTGAATAAATGAGATGGCTAAAATATTGTTGGGATTGATGAAGTTGGAGAAATGATAGGATTGGTCTTGTTTCTTCAATAATAGTGTTGATCAATCGCACCTCCTGGTTGGAAGAGTATTATGATGAAAGAATCCAAGGGTTTTAGGTTTCAGAATTCCATTGATTTATTCATTCATTCAAAGTTTCAAACAATGAAATTTGTTAGATTCCTACACTCGGACTCGGTTGATATTTCAAAAAGGGATTAATTTCACATGAGGAGGAGTTGAAATGGTAACTAAACCATGGTCTATCGCCAAACCAATAACGGTAGAGTAGGTTGAAAGCAGAACCGAGTTAGGAATCAGTAAGTCTAAGTGGCGAGCTTTCTTTCCCAGACCTTCGCCGCTCATCTCTCTGCCTGAATATGTCCGTCGCCGCACAGCACTTACTACTCCGCTTATCCTCCGCCGGTCGCCGGATTCTTCCGCTCCCTATTTCTGCCCTCTGTCACCGCCCTGCCTTTTCCTCATCCATCGGAGGCACCCAACACCTCGACTTCCATTCGGACGAATCGTCCTACGAGTCCGACGTCGAGATCCCTCGAACCCGAACCCGAACCCCGCTCGAAACCGGGTTCGAGACATGGACCCAGAAGCTGAAACCCGGATTCACGCCGGCCGACGTCGAATCCGCCATCACGGCCCAGTCGGACCCCGACCTCGCCCTCGACATCTTCCGATGGACGGCCCAGCAGCGGAACTACAAGCACAACCACGTCACCTACCTCACCATGATCAAGACCCTCATCAACGGGCGCCGCTACCGCCACGCCGAAACCCTAGTTGAAGAGGTCATCGCCGGCGCCTGCGAGATGACCGTCCCGCTCTACAATTCCGTGATCCGGTTCTGCTGCGGCCGCAAGTTCCTGTTCAATCGCGCCTTCGACGTGTACAAGAAGATGCTGAAATCAGAAGACTGTAAGCCCACGCTCGAGACCTATGCTCTGCTCTTCAATTCGCTGCTTAGGAGGTTTAACAAGTTGAATGTGTGCTATGTCTATTTGCACGCTGTGAAATCCATGACCAAGCAGATGAAAGCCTCTGGAGTTATTCCGGATACCTTCGTGTTGAACATGATCATCAAAGCTTATGCCAAGTGCCTGGAAGTTGATGAGGCGGTTAGGGTGTTTAGAGAAATGGGCTTGTATGGATGTGAGCCGAATGCTTATAGTTATGGGTATCTGGTGAAAGGGTTGTTTGAGAAGGGGAGGATAGGGCAGGGTCTAGGGTTTTACAGGGAGATGAAGAGCAAAGGGCTTGTCCCTGGTGCAAGCACTTACATGACTGTGATTTGTAGTCTGGCTATGGCTCGGAAGCTGGATGACGCGATTGGCATTGTTTCTGATATGTTGAGGAATTCACTCTTTCCGGATCAATTGACGTATAAGACCGTGTTGGAAGGGCTGTGCAGAGAAGGGAGGGCTGGCGAGGCTTTCGAGCTGATTGAAGAGTGGAGAAAGATGGATAAGTTGATGGGGGAGAGAGTGTACAAGACTCTGTTAAATGAACTGCATTTTGTAAGCAGAGAGTAGTATTCGATGAGTCGATTCTGATGAATCCTTCCATCATTCAGCTGCTCAAGTGGCTTGGTGCTCCGACTTGCTATTGTGGTTGATGAGCCTTCGATCATTCAGCGGAGCATTGCAGCAGTTGGAGAAGAAGCTCGTAGATGTTTCATGTGTTTGTGCTGTGGTGCATGCTGCTGGTATGCTGAGACTAGCTATATCAGCAATCTGCATAAGAAGTGGTGTTCCTAATCGCTGACGAGGAGTCTTCTTAGTAACATTTTGACAGGCTTCCAAAAGAAAGGCGGCTGCCGGCTCAGTTTGCAAAGCAAAGGAGGATTGATACACTCGTATTTATACATCTCCAATAATTTGGATGTTTTTGGGCCATTTTTACCCGTTAACTTATTCCCCTGGAGTATTTTCATGATATTCGAATGCTTCATGTCCTAGCATGTTAAGGAATAAGGATCGCTTGGAGCAAAGATCGTTGGCGTAACCTTAAATTCATCCAAGATCCAAGAGGAGTGTACAATATTAGCAAGGAGAAGATGGATGTTATCGTGGATTTGTGTTCTTCTTTCTCTTTGTACACACTCTCTCTATGTTCTAACTTCTTTAGTTGCTTAGGAGATGAACTCTAGACTGTAAATTGATTTTGTGATTGAAAGTAAACCATTGTAGACCTCTATTCACTATATCTATTGGTTAGATATAGAGAATCACATTATTATGTGGGCCTTTGACTTAAAGAGAGAACTCCAATCAAGTCAAGGCGATGACACATCAATTAGAGATAATCAATTGTATGATCATAGAGTTGATTAAAGTTTTGAGTGGTTGAATTGATTCGTGACCATTGATCCAAGGGCTAGCTTAGGATTGTTGGCAATTAAGAAATATGGAGAATGTTTTTGAGTTGAACCATTATAAGAGAAAAATTCGGAACCTCGGGGATCATTCCTTTTTTGCTAATATATGAAATATATTTCAATAAGCGGATTTTGAGGAAATAACAAATCAGACATTTTATACTTACTTCAAAAAAAGAAGCGCAGGCTTCCTCGATAGAAGAACCTTTTTTGTTTTGGTCCCAATTCACCACTAAACAAGTCCGAACTAATTGAATACTTGTGTCCAAAATTCCCCGAATCGGTTTACCATTATCATTTCCATAAAGAATGTAATTGACAACTTGAAATTTCAGATTATCCTTTTTTTGAGCAACATCTCTTCTCTTATGGTCCTCTTTTAAAGTAGTTGTTTCTTTCTTAGTGAACTAACTTTGTTTAAAATAAAAGGGTAATGTCTATTTTTTTATCCAAATCTTTTTCAGATTCTTTTATATTATTCAAACCTAGTGAAATTCTATTAATTAGCCAAATCTTTCGTAATGCATCAAAATATTATCCATTTTTAGGTTATCGTTAATAATTTTGTAACTCTTTTCGGGATTTTTCCAAAAATAGCACCTTTAAAAAAGAATTTACAAAAATAGCACCCAGTCCATAGATTTTACAAAAATAGTACCCAGTCCTTTCCAAGTGTATGTATGTCTCTGTAAACTAGCCAACTTGCAATCTACACAAAACTGAAAAGAATAGTGGGGGCTGGAGAGTGGAGCTCTAATAACATAAGGATGGTGAGTGGAGGGATACAATAATAATAATAATAACAATTGTGGTGGCCAGGGACAGAGCTAACATGTAGTAAGAGGGGGTCACAGTCCACTCTAAACTTTAAAAATAAGACGTTGCAACAAGATACTCAACGTACATTGTAGCCTAATGGTGGAAATTTATAGTTGTAAAGTAGAGGTTAGCCGTTTGATGATAGCTGACGATTATTTTATTACATTGTATTCATAACCCCAAAATTTTCCATGTCTTACAAGTTGGCACCAAACTTTCTCATTTTGGTACATTTTTACCTCTTGTTTATAATTCATACCTGACTTTCTCAACCCGGCATTTGTTATGCCTTACAATTTGGTACTAAAATTTCCCATTTTAGTACGTCCTTTACCCATCATCTTATAATTGGATCAAAATTTCACATTTGAGGCATATTTTTCTCATTTTAATCCTAGTTTTCTGAATTTTGCAAGTTAATTTGCTTATCATAAGGAAGTATATTTAGTTTCACCATTTTCACTAATTTAGCTTTTTAACCAAACAATATGCCAAAGCTCTTCTAGTAGTTAAAAATAGGATATATGTTGATAATTTGGTAATTTTTGGTGAATGATAAATAGCATAATAATTTATTTCTTAAAAAAAAAATTATCGCCCCCTTACCTAAATTCTTGGCTCCGTCACTGGGTGGCCTACAATTTTCTAAAGAAGAGTTGGTGGAGTTTGGAGTTCACACAACTTCAGAATTAAAAGCAATCCAATAAAGGCCCGTAGCGGCTACGAAATCCCCCTAGCATTCAAATACCTAAATTTTGGACATGTAACAACAGTTTGGTACAATAGAAATGATTAAAAGATAAAACACAACAGCTAGAGCAACATGAGTTCATGTATGGAGGTTACCGCCAATAGTAAATGGACTCCATTCGATCATTTTTCACTATGTAACTTATACCCTTCAGTGGATGGATGAGCCCACAATTGTTCTCCCGACGCACAATTGTGTCCTATTTATGCTAACCCATCTGTCACCGGATTAGCTTCACGGAGTGAGTGTTGAATTGAACAATTCCAATTCCCTTTGCCTTTGGTAAGGCACCAATTTTCTCGAATAATTAACAAAAGGGTAAATGTCATGATTGGTCACCGAGATTACTAAAAAATGTCAAATTCGATCACTAAAAATATTTTATTCCATTCGTGGTCACTAAAATTACTAAAAATGTCAAGTTTGGTCACTTTCCGTCCGACTCCGTTAACTTTTGCTTATGTGGCAGTCAACTCTTTAAGATGACCGTTAAATATATGATGTGGGAATTTAAAATTTTAAAATAATATAATTAAATATTTCAACATTTCCACATCATTATTTTCATCATTAAAAAATAAAATAAAAACCATTTTTTATTGCGCTTTAAGTTGACACAAAACTCTAGAGTACTAGCTTTTGGCTAATAGGTCACATCAAACGGCCGCCGACTTGCAGCCAATATCACCGCCTCCAAAACCTCCTCCGCTTTCACCTTCGTCGACGAGGCCGATCTCTTTCCACCGCGGCTTCCATTTCTTGCGGCCTTACTGTCATCCTCCTTCATAAGCAGTTAAAAGTTGTTGTGCGGGTTCACCATTGACTCGTCCCGAATATCACACTTAAATCCCACCTAAGACCCAAGTATAAACCTTAAATGGGTGTAATATAGGGCAAGTATTTTTAAATATAAACTCGGGCCGGCCCATGTACCCCTACTTCGATTGTTTGAAACATTTTCTAGCAGAATGAAGTTTGTGAAAATCTCTACAATCTACGTGATGCAATCCGGATCGCCTCACAAGACATCCATCGAGTAAGAAGAACATACAACGATCGTGGTACGAAGATGAAGGCTTTAGAGGCTCGAGAAGACAGTTAATCTCATGGCCTCATCTCACAGCCGTGAGATCGGGGGCGTGAGATCGGGACGGTGAGACCTGTGAAGCGGGTGTTCAGAAGACAGATAATCTCACGGCCTCATCTCACGGCCGTGAGATCGGGGCTGGTTTTGCTGCACGACCTGTTTTTTGTTTCCTTTGCGGATTATGTGACTTTTGCTCCAAAACTCGGGTTTTCTTGTTATTTTTGGCCCAAAACCTTTATAGCCTATATAAGGGGCTGAACTAAGTCTTTTAGAGGGTAATCAACACTTTTATTCAAGAATAAAAACCCTAGAATTGGTTTTTCAAACACCAACTTCTCTTCTTCTTTCTTGATCGTGGAATCGATTTAGCAAGAGGAAACCGACATTTTCTGCTAGCTCATCACCCTAGCCGAATAGTCCTTCGTATACCTGGCCCTCTTCCCGACTCGTGGATTTGGTTTGGGTTATTATCCACTTTGTGGTCGTTGTGCTTTAATCGATCTTTGCTGCGTTTCTGATTGTTTAAGTCCAGGAGTTGGAGCCTCGGCTTATATCATGTGGTATCAGAGCTCCGGTTCAACACAGTGACACACATATCCCTCCTTTCTTGTGCGAGAATCAGACGAATCAGGTCTTGTGTTCTTAACCGCCGCCAAGAAGGTTAATTTTTCAGTTTTTGTTTCAAACAAAAGAAAAGAAAAGAGAAGATTCATGAAGTTTTAGAGAGAATTCTGAAGGTTCTTGGAGCTTACTTGTGACGCATACATGGACGATTTTGAGCAAGGTAATCTGTACTCATTGTCTGGTTCAAGAGAACTTATGTTTTGTGGTGGTTGATGGAGAGATCAAATCCAATTTGATCAGTTCGAGGACAGTAGCTAAGTTAGGGATAACTACACAACAACATCCTAGCCCTTACCTATTGCGATTGTAAATGGAAGATGCTTTTGTATATGTGACTAAACAAGTATATGTGGAGTTACAACTTGGGACGTATGTGGATCGGATTCAGCGTGATGTCTTGCCTATGAAGCTGATTCACGTGGTACTTGGTGAACCATGGCACAATGATTGCCAAGCACGACAACGTCGCAGCCACAATCATATCATCATCAGTCATCAAGGAAGGAAGATTGCCTTAAAGCCATTATCGTTGGAAGAGGTTGCTGAAGATAGGAGGCAATTACAACGACTTTATGAAGAGGCACATACGAGTTTGGAAGCAGAGAAGGTCAATGAAGAACAAGATGTCGAGGAAGTCAGAACCCTTCTAGATCAGGAAGAAGTCAAACAAAAGAAGTCATCGACCAAGTGTCTGGATCAGAAGGAAGTAGAGAAAGTTGCAGTAAAGGAAAGTGGAGGAGCTGAAGTGGTTGAAATAGAACGCATTGAATCAAGCTATCACGGCCCTTTTTGTTTTCATTCTGATCAGGATTTGAGGTGTACGAGTCTTCAAGATTTGATCATTGATAGCTTGCTTTGGACAACTGATTGCTTTGATGGCAAGAAGGCAAATGGAGATGGTTTGAGTCTAGTGAGGGATGAAGAGTTTGGGTGAGGAACTTTAAGTTTCGATGCCGCTACATCAACCAATTATGTTTGGAAACCTGGCTGGAGGTTTCATTGAAACACTCATGATGCCTTGAGCTTTGAAAATCATTATTTGGAGCCTATGTGTGATTGTTTGTTTGAGCTCTTGATTCCGTGGGATTGTGGAGAAAGTTTGTTCTTTCGTGGTGCATGTTTCTGGTCGAGGCAGATGGAGTCAAACAATGGAGCCTATATGCAGCCACAAGATTTGAGGACAAATCTCTTGAAGAGGGAGAGAATGATGCAATCCGGATCGCCACACAAGACGTCCATCGAGTAAGAAGAACATTCAACGATCATGGTCTGAAGATGAAGGCTTTAGAGGCTCGAGAAGACAGTTAATATGACAGCCTCATCTCACAGCCGTGAGATCGGGGCGTGAGATCGGGACGGTGAGACCAGTGATGCGGGTGTTCAGAAGACAGTTAATCTCACATCCTCATCTCACGGCCGTGAGATCGGGGCTGGTTTTGCTGCACGACCTGTCTTTTGTTTTCTTTGCGGATTATGTGACTTTTGCTCCAAAACTCGGGTTTTCTTGTTATTTTTGGCCCAAAACCTTTATAGCCTATATAAGGGGCTGAACTAAGTCTTTTTGAGGGTAATCAACACTTTTATTCAAGAATAAAAACCCTAGAATTGGTTTTTCAAACACCAACTTCTCTTCTTCTTCTTTCTTGATCGTGGAATCGATTCAACAAGAAGAAACCGACATTTTCTGCTAGCTCATCACCCTCGCCTTATAGTCCTTCGTATACTTGACCCTTTTCCCGACTCGTGGATTTAGTTTGGGTT